TTCCCCTATTTTTACTTTTAAATTAATTTTATCATCATCTAACATTCACTTAAATTGAATCTTTAAAAACAAAATTTTTAAAAAATGTATATTTTAATTAGTAAATTAATTTGATTTTTTATTGTTTATTTTTAGTTTATTTAACAGTATTTATTACAACATTTCTTTCATAATTTGTCAGGCATCTATTGCTCTTATTGTTTATACATAATGTAAATGAGAGTAAACAAAACAGCTGAATTAAATTGTGTGAGTGTTTGTATATATATATATATATATATATATATATATATATTACTATATTACTATATATACAGTATATAGTAAGTCAAAAATTAAAAAACGTACAACATAATATATATATTTTTACAGAAATTGTTTATATTTATACATATATGTATAATCATATAAAATATTAAATTACAATTTAAATTAATCTTTTGCGAAAATTAAAGAGTTCAAATAATTATATTAAAATTAATATATATAAGTATATTTGTGTTTGTATAAATACATATAATTTAAATCAAAAACTGTAAAAAATCGAACATTATTCTATTGATTTTAAAGACACAAGGAAAAAGTATTTCTTTTATTATGCCAATGCAGAAATTAGCCAAAGTAGTTCATCATGAAATGGTCAAATATTGGCCAATGAATCTTCTTAGCAGTTTGTGATTGCGAAAAATATTGGTCTAATTTACAACCTAGTGTACGTAAAATTTGGTATTCAATTAATTCTTTCCTCTCGTTTCTTCCAGACGGCTTGTTCTAGTCTTAATGAATACCTGCGAGGGCCGTTGGGTCGTTACCTGCTCAACGTGACGTCGGCCGCCGAGCAGTGCAGCCGAAACCTCTGCGGATTTCGTGGCCGCTGCCTTCGCAAACGTCCCGACACGGACACGTACCTGCATCTCAGCCCGAACACCCACAGCATAGAGCGGCAGGGAAACATGCTGAAGGTCTCGGGCCAGATGGGAGAAGAAGAGCTGAGCCGCGTACGGGATGAGTTCCAGTGTCAGTGCTATAACGGGTACGTCGGCGACGACTGCAGCCAGAGGGATGCTGGGAATAGAGCTGCGCTCGTCTGGACCACGTTTTTGCAAGTTCTGCTGTTGCCGCTGCTCTTGATGGGGTTCCTGCACTGAGGAGTTAAGTAGAAGTGGTTTGAGGACGATACGCCGGACCTTCTCGTCAAGAAATGCGTGACGTCAGCAGGAGGAAGGCCTTTTGTTCGATAGAATTTGAACAGAAATGGAGAATTTGAATGCGCACGTTAACTCTGTGGAGTTACAGCACAGTGTTTTTTTGTTCGAGTGCATCGCCCCCTGCTGCATGGGAGGCTGAACTGCGATTTTCGGCTAGGTTTGATGTTTGTGTATGCGTGAAATAAATTTTATCTTGTCTGTGTGCATTTTTTATAAAAAATTTTTTTTGATGTGGTTGTGTTTCTTTGCCTTCATACCTGCGTAAAACCAGTTGTGACCTTATTTCTGCTGTGTGTCACAGGACCAGCTCCTTAAAAGGGACATGTTTTGTTACTTCCAACGCTGCTGCTTCATTAAAACCTCACTTAGATTGAAACCTGTTTTCTATCACATTTCACTCCTAAATTAAGAAATGAGAGAAATTACATTTTGCATGAGGAAAATGAAGCCTGTTTTAGGATAATTTTCATTATTTTTTCCATTGGTTTTCTTTTGGTTTCATGACATTTGTGCATTTTCATCCAGAAATTCTCATAACACGTTGTTGTTGTTGACATTATTACTGTTTTCAGTGTGATTCTCATTATAGTATAGCATTTGTTTCTTTACAGTAAAAAAGAAAATGATAATAAATTTAAAATTAAATCATAATAAATTAAAGGCAATACAAAATTCTACCATGAGATTTAAAATATGCTATAAATTATTATACTAAAAACTGTTAAAATACTAATATTCAAATAAAATTTTAATTCATGAAATGTCAAATTTCTCTCCAAAATTAAAAGCCTTTTGTAGGATCATTTAGATTTTTTTCCCTCCTAGAAATTATAATGCATTCAAACGTGTTTTTTTTTTATTCTCATGATTCTCAATGTGATTCTCATTATAGTAATTTTACAGTAATAAGAATAAGATAAGAAATCAGTTTGTAAATGTGCTTAATTATGATGAAAATGTCACAACGGATCTTAATGGTCCTATAATTAGGTTTCTTTATGCAAAATATAAGTTTTGGCATTATTTTCTTTTAATTTGGGGGTGAAATATGACTTCAGACATGTTCTTGACAGGTTTTCTTAGACCACTGCTGGATAGTGAGGAATTTTTGAAAATCTTGTGACGACTTTTGCCAAAAACATGAATGTACATGTCAAATCAGCGAACCGCACTGCGGTTCACACAAGCAAAGATGCTGCCTTATTTTTCTGCCTGGGTTTCACAAATCTGTTTTGTGGCAGGATTTGCCTCTTTTATTGCTGAACTTTGCATTTCTGCTCTTTATTTGTGTGGGATAAACTGGAAAGGCTTTGTGTATTTTCAGAGTTTGTGTCATCACAGGAAAACAACTACACCATCATAGATCTGCGTTTGTTTTTCCTGTAGTTATTTTTTTGTCGTTGTAGTGCCTTTAAAGGCATAGTTCACCCAAAAATGAACATTCTGTCATTTACAAACTGCTTTCTTGTCTGGACAGCAAAGTAGGTAATGATAGAAATTGCATATTTGGGTGAACAGTCTCTTTAATTGACTATGTGTTAAAGAACCTCACAAGTGCAAAATTAAACCTAAAAGCTTCATTTTTATTTTTATACAATAGAATTTTGATACCAAATTCTGCTTGTTCTGTCCAGATGGACTCGTATAAAGTGAGTTATACAAGATCAATCGCTTCCAGGTTGAATTGTATCAGGTGTTTGGTGACTGAAAGTGTTTATATTTTTACAATAAATCTCATATTTAAAAGCAAAGTCTTGCTTGTAATTTTTGGATTTTTACAAAGTAACTCCAGTAGAGTCCGAAACCATGTTGAAAATCTGGGGTTTGTTTCATTTAAAGTGGACATTTTTTGTTGAAACATTGAATCGTTATGAGACATATTTAGGAATCTGTTTCTAAACGTCATTTTCCCCTCATCCTCACTAGCTAGTTCACTTTTCCTCTAGTTTTTCCAGCCCTTGGTTTCTTGTTTTCTAGGTCCTGCTCCGCTCCTGAGGGGGTAGTCGGACCGTGCCAAACGGAACATTACGGGCTGGCAGCACAGAGAACGTCTTGTTTTATTATAACTCAAACCAGACATCCAGTCTCCTTTTATTCTCTCCCTCTTTTTTGCTCTGGGTTCTTCCGTGTGTTTGCTGCTGTGTGTGAATAATACTGGAATCTGTGGCTCAGATTGTTGAGAATCGCACTGCATCCACATGTCTAAGCCAATACGTCATCTTGCACAATATTACATGGGGCTCTGCTGAACAATGCACATAGTTCTCTCTGTATTTGACTAGAATAGAAATCAAAACTATTTACTAAAGTAATTCTGCATACGTTTTAAAAAAAAAAAAAAAAACATCTAATTTATCCCTTAGGAAAATTAGCCATGATTTTATTATAGTAAAAGTGTATGGTTTATCCACATATCGTTTTTTCTCCTGCCTCATATTATTTCCATCACAAAAAAGTTTTGCTAGCGAACGCAATTGTATTTCAATATAATTGTTCCTCCCTTCACCTTTTTTTCTCTCATCACCATGTCTCATTAGAGGCTCAGTAGATTTCCAATTGTGTAGTAACATGCTCTATTATTATGAGATATTATTTCGCAACAACTCTGAAAGATTTCCGAGGAAAAGTTAATTTACAGCCACAGGAATGAGTCAAACGCGACTAAAAAGAATCGGAACCATCGCACGCGTTTACCCGTTTCCACACGGAACTATTATTGTGGGTGATGCATTAACGCCGCGCTACAGTCACTGCATGCGAATTATGATCAATCTCAAACTTTCCGACAGTCATCGATTATTGGATATTTACAGGGTTTCGTATATTTTTTAGGTAAGTACTAAATGTACGACATAGCTGTCATGTTCTTGCATTTATCGCCATGTTGGTTGCAGCTGCGGTACGTCTGCGCACTTTATTTCAGCGACGTTACTCAGATGTAGACTTTTATGTATTAACTAAAAATTGTAATTACGCATACTCTTGTTTTAAAGTATTTTATAAATTCGATCATGCATTTCAGATATTTTCGTGTTTATTTTTCGTGCCACCCAGTTAAAATGGAGTCTGGGGGTTTAATCTGCTGCGATTAATGAGATAAATGGTTGCTCCTCGTGTCAGCTGGTTAACCCGAGTGTGATTGTTTCATCTGCTGTAATTTAATGGGTTTACATGCAGATGATGAATTTCTTCCGCAACCGTCTGGTGGTTTTGGGGCTGGTGTTGCTGGCCACCGTGCTGCTGTATCTGCTGCTGCCCTCCATGCGGCAGGGGAGCATGGAACCGTCTCTGGAGGTGCAGCAGCGGAGGGGTCTGGCCGCCTCTCCTCCTCCGCCGCCGCCAAACAGCATCAACATCACGGTCAGGACCGGACAGCTGCCCGGAGACCCGCCGCTCTTCTTCAGAGAGGCTCTGCCTGTGGACAGCGCTGGGCGACAGATTGTGCCCAGGTCAGGTTACTTTATAATTTAAGTTTTATTCTATAGTTATATAATGGCTGTATTGAGTTGCATAGATAGACATCAGTTGTACGTTCCAAATTTATGTTATAATTGGAAAGCTCTATATAGAATAGTAAATCTGATTCGTTCTTCAATTCATAATCATTAAAAATCTAACGTACGTCTTTTGGGCAAAGCATTGTTCCATGGTTAAACTATGGTTAATTTGCCTATTAACCATGTTTTTTTTGGTTTTATTTGTAGTGAAACCATGGTTAATTTTTTTAAGGGAAAATACAAGATTATAGCCTAATGTTTTAAAATTATACTAAAATTATCATATAATCGTTTACTAAAGTTTTCTCTGCACAAATTGTTTGATTTAGAACAGTTTCACCTTGTATTCACTTGCAGAACTTTTGCGTTCTTTTGCAAATGATTGCATTCCCCTGAGAAACTTTGCATTTACTTGCAAAACTTTTGCCTTTTCTTGTAAAATATTGTTAACAGAAAAACTTTGCATTCTCTCACAAAAAAACTTTTTTTGTGAAACTTTGTTTTCGCTTGCACAACTTTTTTGTTCTCTCAACAAATATTGTTTCCCTGAGAAAACTTTTGCTCAGAAAACTTTAGTTTTCTTGCAAAATATTGTCTATCCCTGAGAAACTTTGCACTTATGCGTTCTCTCACAAAAGTATTGTGTTTTCCAAACTTTGCTTTCACTCGCACAACTTTTTCATTCTCTCGCCAAATGTTTTCCTGAGAAACCTTGCTTTAGCTTGCAAAACTTTTGCGTTCTCTTGAAAAATATTGTGTTCACCAAAAAACTTTTGCGTTTTCTCGCAAAATATTGCATTTCCCTCGATAAAGATTGCACTCATTGGCATTTGTGTTCTCTTGCAAAATATTGCGTTCCCTCACAGAAGTATTGTGTTCTCTCGAGAAACTTGGTTCGCTCGCAAAATCAATTTACTCTAGTGATTTTGCAGAAGTAAACCTTTCGCCCTCACATGAAATTCCTGACTATGTGGATTCCCACTGACTTGATTTCACCTGCAAAAATTATTAGTATTAAAGTCACTATGAAATCAACATTGAAAATTCTTATTTTTTTTAAAGGAATACTGTAGTGTTTATTGTAAATAATTTATCCGTGCACTTCATTATTTTTTTTAAAATTCATGTGCCCTGGTAATCTTTCATCAAAAACGTTAACCTCACCTCCCCCTCAAAACAACTCATCTTCTCTTCCGGTCACGAGCTATGGCGCAAGGGCGGAGCTAGTGACGTGAGGGGTAAACGCTGGGATAAACGACAGGGGAAAAGCTGAAGCTGATGCTTCACTTTATAGCACTGACACCAATCATGAGGGAGTACGTTACCCCTAAACATTGATATTACGACAACATTACTCTTAGGACATCGCAAACTAATTTTTTTCATGAATATGACTTAACCTGATGAAGGACGTGCTCAGTCATTCAGGCAGTCTCTCTCGCACGCGCGTGCGCTGTTTAGGCATGTTTTGTGCCGTTGATCGTCATCATCATGCTTAATAAATAAAATATTTATTCATGCTTGGGTGTCGGCTGTGAATCCAGTGCAGACTGAGAAGAAAAGACAATTGCAACTTCCGTTTCATGCCGACTTTAAAGCCTTCTGGCTGGTTGCTAGGCAGGTGCTAGAGTTTCGTGTGGTTGCTGGGCAGTGGCTAAAATGTTCTGAATGGTAGCTAGGGCGTTTTGGCTGGTTGCTTGAAAGTTTTGATCGGTAGATGAACAGATAGACTGTGGTATTTTAATGAAAACTATGGTAACCATGGTAATTTTCGAACTACTAAATACTGCATATGAAATTATGGATAAAATGATGATATGGTCAAAATCATCACTTGCCTAATAATTGTGCACACAGTGTAAATATTATGACCTATTCTTATGTAACTGTAAAGATTCAGCATCTGTATCTCCTCTCCATCAGGCTGCAGATGGTGCTTCTTCATGGTCAGGCCTTCACCTCTAAGACTTGGGAGGAGTTGGGCACCCTCAGCCTGCTGGCGTCCAATGGGTACCAGGCCCTCGCTCTCGACCTGCCCGGTATGAGCTCTGTAAACTTATATTTCACTTTATTAATGTTCTTGATATGCTGATTTATTAAAAACTTCTAAAGCAGATCACTAAACCATCTTGTTTCTTGTCAGGTTTTGGGAATTCTCCGGACTCAGAGTCTGTAAAGTCGGATCAGAGCCGCGTGGACCTGCTAAAGCGTTTTCTGGAATCTCTGGGCGTGCGAGCGCCGGTGTTACTGAGCCCGTCTATGAGCGGCCATTACGCCCTGCCATTCCTCCAGAAACACAGCGCCCAGCTGCATGGCTTTGTGCCCATCGCCCCCGTGGGCACCCGTGGCATCACCCCACAGCAGTACCGCGACATCCAGGTGCCGTATTTCTTTCAAATAATCTCACACTTAAGAATTCCTTGATTTTAATGTTTGGTTTTAATTCTCACTTCTCATCTGTATGACAGACTCCTACACTGATCATATATGGCGAGTTAGACACCAACCTGGGCGCCCAATCTCATAAGAACCTGATTCAGCTGCCTCATCACACCGTGGTGAAGCTGGCAGGAGCGCGGCACGCCTGTTACATGGACAAACCCCGCGAGTTCCACCGCACTCTGCTCGACTTCCTCAGCAAACTTGAATGAGGGACGGAGAGAGTGAGAACAGGTCAAACAAACACGTGAAAAAGACTTTGGAAGAGACTGGGTGAAGAAAAAGACCGAGGCAAGACAAGAAAATGATGAACAGGACTGCGGTGTAGCTGTAAAACCAGTCCTGAAACGTAACACAACACCTGAACGTTCTGTCAGCCATCCACATCTGCTCACTCCTTATAATTTCCTTGCGTGCACCATCAAGAGATCAGATATTATAATATATCAAATAAACAAAACTTCTGCAGAATTACTATAGTAAAGCTTCTTTTGTAGATTGTAAACATTTCCTTTTATCAGTTTTGACATTGTTGCCCGTAATAATGGCCTGTCCGAAGGTTGTTACATTTTCCAGCCTGAGGGTTGTTCTGTAATGCTGTTCGCATGGTTTCCAGTCTGAGGAATGTTCCTGTAACAACACAATAGCCATGGTTTCCAGTCTGAGAATTATTCTGTAATGTTGTTGCCATGGTTTCTGGTCTGACAGATGTTTCTGTAACATAGTTGCCATGGTTTCCTTTCTGACAGATGTTCTGTAACGCTGTTGCCAGGGATTTTCCTGGAACAAAAATTGCCATGGTTTCCAGTCTTGAGAGTTATTCCGTAAAGCTGTTTCCATGGTTTCTGGTCTGACAGATTTTCCTGTAACATAGTTGCCATGGTTTCCTTTCTGAGGGTTGTTCTGTGTCGCTGTTGCCATGGTTTCCAGGGTGAAAAATGTTCCTGTAACTCAGTTGCCATGGTTTCCAGTCTGAAGAATATTACTGTAACTCAGTTGCTGTGGTTTCCTTTCTGAGGTTTATTCTGCATCGCTGTTTCCATGGTTTCTTGTCTGAGGAATGTTCCTGTAATGCAGTTGTCGTGGTTTCTTATCTTAGGGTTGTTCCCATAAAATGGTTGCCATGGTTTCCAGTCTGAGAAATGTTCCTGTAACAAAGTTGCCATGGTTTTCTAAGGGAAGTTCCTGTAACACAATTGTAATGGTTTCCAGTCTGAGAGTTATTCTGTAACGCTGTTGCCATGGTTTCTGCTCTGACAAATGTTCCTGTAACTCAGTTGCCATGGCCTTCTTTCTGAGGGATGTACCTGTAACACAATTGCCATGGTTTCCAGGCTAAGAAATGTTCCTGTGAATCAGTTGCCATGGTTTCCAGACTGACAGTTGCTTCCAATAACATGGTTGCCATGGTTTCCATTCTGAGGATTGTTCCGGTAACTCAGGTGTCATGTTTTCTGGTCTTTGGCTGTCCCTATAATAGAAATGCCATGGTTTCCTGTATGAGGGTTGTTTTTTAATGCGATTGTCATGGTTTTCTGTAACAACGTGAGTCACATAATGCCAAAAATCAGTGTCATGACTGTCATAACCCTCCATCTCAAATATGCTTGACAGAAGTCATCAATCCTACAAGAACATCTCAGAGAAGAAAACAGTGTTTCTTATTTTTGGCTCGAATAGGTTTGTCTTATCGAGTGAATATGGTTTTAGAAGTGCACAAATAGAGACAAAAGTTGCCGTATTGGACGCCTGTAAATTCAGTTTTTCATTATCAGTAGTTGTCAGACTCGTACTGGCAGTAGATTATTCAGATTATTATTAGATTAAAAAATAGAACATTTCCTGAGACTGCAGAGAAGAAAAAGTGTTCACTAAATGGTGTTGGTATTACATTACCACACCTAAAAATGTAGGTGTTCATTACATATTTATTATTTATTGCTTAAAGCTTCTACATGACAGAAACCGTAATGTGTGTGTGGTATTTATGTGCTGTGGTCTGTTGTTTTGTTTGTTTATATCTTGTAAATATGAATATGTTTTAGAGGACAGTGAGGCACCTCTGACCACCATTTCTGACATCCCGAATCTTCAACCTGAAGGGATGCATGGTACTGCAGAGCCATGAAACATGCTTTTGTTCAATGCAAAATAAAGTTCATTAACATTAATGTTTTGGCGTTTGTGATTTAATGGACATACACCACAAGAGACATCAGGTACAACCAAAAAATTGTAAGGGGTCTATAAGTTCAAGTGCACTAAATGAAGTCAAAGTTTATCAAATGCAAAATATATAAATATGAACTAAACCACGAAATAAACGTAATTCTGTAAAATAAGTATAATGAACTACTCAAAAAATATAAATAAACATTTCAAAAATCCTCCAGCACGTTTTATAATGCCCAAAATTCTAACTCCTCAGCCCTCACACACGGGTTCTAACCCTAACCCTCTGTCAAAAATTTAGACTGGCTGTTGGTTGGAATATTAGAACTAAAAACATTAGCATAACACTAAAGGGCATCAATTACTTCAATGAATACTTGCCGGGTAATAAATAAATATGACCTTACAATCCTTCTGCTTTCAAATCCATATTATATGAATATCATATAATATGAAAAAATAATGATACACTGCGGTATTTACGAGAAGTACTGGGGTCCAGGGAGTACACGGAAAGCCCACACTAATGGATGTTTTGCCTAAAGAAGAACATGGTGGCCTGAGTGGCTTCAACATGATGTCTGTCAGAGACCATAACGTACCTATAACGCATGCGAGTATACATTTGTTCTTGACTAGCTGAAATTAACTGGTACTTTTCATATAATGTAGTTTGAGCACTATCTTCTCAGTTGTTTAAAAGATTAAGGCAATTATGAAAGTTTGATAAAATGTTACATTTTCCAATAAAAAATGATACATTTTGACACATACATATAATAGTAGTATAATTATTAGAATAGTATTATAATTATAGTATTATTATTATAGTGTTATTATAGTAACTATTTTAGAGTTATATTATTATCATTATCATTATAGTTATTTCCGTGAACTTCTAAGAAAATAAAAAAAGAGAAATGATAAAATTAAGCTAAAAAAATCCTTGTTACCAAGGAAAATGGCTTATATAAAAAAATGTTGAATATAATAAAATATAATTTTTAAAATACCGGAAAAAAAGCGTTTTAATGATTCTTTACTCGTGTTTTGACCACGTGTGCGCATTGTGTGTGGGCGTGGCCAGGCGGAATCGAATGATGCCGACGTCATGACGCACACCATGAGTCTCTTCGGGAAGATGGCTGCCGTGTACATGATGCGAAACTGAATGGACCGAAAACAGCCCAAAATTGCTAAAATTCCCCCCTCTTCCCTCCTCTGTGTCCCACTCCACATCCATACACATGCGTTCGCGTTAAAACGAAGCCGATTTTAACCTAGTGTGAAGAACTAAGATGATAATATGACCCAGAAAAAGAAGAAGCGAGTGAATCGCAGTTTGTTACTGGCGAAGAAAATCATTATCAAGGATGGAGGAACGGTGAGTGGCTTCTGTATTCAACCGCAACAAACACATCCGATACGGAGGGTTAAGTCTTAAATAAGCATATACATACGTATTATGTTAATGTCTGAAAGACAAAATGCTTTGAACACGCGTTGGAGGAGTAACTGACATTCAAGGCTGTAAACATCAGCATTTACTTCCTGTAAAGAGCAATAAATCACATCAGAACACTTAAATCTGAAGATCATACGTGTTTTTATTAATGCACAGGTGGTTTGGTGACACACTAGATGCCTTTAAAAATGTTACAGACTTAACTATTATGATGACGTTCAAACAAAACAGTATAAACATTCATTAATATTGCTACACCTAGTTTTACCATTTTTTTTTAACATGGATATGGTAGTCAATCAGTACCATGATAATTATCAAAGTACAATGTTATTATCATCTAATGTTGTTATAGTACTGCCACAGTATTGATTTGTAAGGGTAGATATGCGAAACTAAGTATATACTATATAGTCTGTCAGACGACTCATGATCATGCTTATGTTTACAAGGTTTGGATATAAATTTAGTTGTCACGAAATGTATGTCCTAAAACAGTGTTTTTTATATACTTTATATTTTTGAATATATATACACATTTTGAATTAGCTTTGTAATTTAAAATCAGTTATTAATATTAATTGAATTAGGCTTTTATTTGAATTGTAGTAAGTTTTAGTAATTTTATTATGAGCTTTTGTAATTTTTTTGTAATTAATGTAATTTATGTTTTGTGTAAATATTTCTATTTTATTTTTATGTTTAGTATTTTAGTTGTAGTAATTTTAATACTTAAACTTAATATATTTCAGTTAGTCCCCAAGGCAACATTTTTAAGTTTTAGTGATAGTAGTAATAGTAATTTTAGGTATTTTAGTTGTAGTAATTTTAATACTTAAACTTAATATATTTCAGTTAGTCCCCAAGGCAACATTAAGTTTTAGTGATAGTAGTAATAGTAATTTTACTTGTGTGCTTTTGCCATTTTTATATTTCTATTTAGCTTTATTTATTTCACTTTAAGTTTTAATAATTTTTGTACTTGCCAAGTAAATATTTGTCATTTTTGTTAGTAAAGTTTTAGTAATTTTGTTATGTGCTTTTGTCATTTTTATTGTTTTTTTATATTTATATTTAATTTTTTACAAGTTTTAGTAATTTTTGTACTTCAACTTATCTTATTTCAGTTAAATGTCCGTTTGTTTTTCATCTAATATTTATATTTTATTTATTTGATCTCTATTCCAATTACTGAAAGCAATTTTGAAATAGTTTCAGTGAGCAATAACAATACTGCCTGAAAACAGCCATGTCTTTACAAATAGGCCAGTGATGATAAATATCGTAATGGTCAGTGATTTGTCTAAAATGCTTTAAACTCAAATGAGCCCCTCACATGTGCAGATGTGGTCAGTCCCATTGAGTTGCAGATCATTTGCTTGAAATTTTCATAAACCCACCAGAAACGATTGGCTTTTTCCCATGACAGAAGCAGACACGTTATCAAGAGTTGCGATTTTGCTTGTTTTATTAAAATTGTAGGTTGTTTGGATATGTTTTATCTTGCCTACAGCACAAAATAAGCCAGAATCTGCACTGGTTGGCGCTCAAAAAACAGGTGCATGATTCAGGTCACGAAAACGTCTGATACTCTAGTTTGATAGATTAGGCCTCAAACAGTCCTAATCATGTAATCTCTTAGTGTCAAAACCAATCCGAAGCTCTAAAGGATGTGTAATAATACTGGTTTGTTTCTTCACCATGGCTGACATCTCTGGTTCTTCTCTGTCCAGCCTCAAGGCTTTGGTTCTCCCAGCGTTTATCATGCCGTCATCGTCATATTTCTGGAGTTCTTCGCTTGGGGTTTGCTGACAGCACCTACTTTGGGAGTAAGTTGCGGTTGTTTTGAACCAAAATAAGCTTGTTTTTGTGTTAAATCAAGATGTTATTTTCATATCAGGTGACGTTTATTTCATGTTACGGGTGTTAGGAACCCACTTTATGTCTCTGTTGTTATATTGGGTAATATGATCATGTAGGAAAGCTTCAAACTTGCATTGGCGTCATAACTGTTGTTGTTTTGTGTCTCATGTGTCTGCAGGCTCTTCATGAAACATTCCCGAAACACACGTTTCTCATGAATGGCTTGATTCAGGGGGTCAAGGTATCATCTTTAACATCCTTCAGTTTACATCCTGATAATCTAGTCTAGTTCATGTTTCAGAAGCGGCGTGTTTTTGTTCGCAGGGTCTGCTGTCGTTTTTAAGCGCTCCTCTGATCGGTGCTCTGTCAGACGTGTGGGGAAGGAAGTCGTTTCTTTTACTCACCGTGTTCTTCACGTGTGCTCCAATTCCTTTATTGAAGATCAGCCCATGGTACGTTGTGTTTCTTGTTTTTGGACACAAAAAATTTGTATATTAATTTTTATGAAATTTAGGAAAAGAAATTTAAATGTAGTTAAATATACGTTTTTTTTATTATTTATTTTTTATTTAATATTTAAGTTGACTTGATTTGGATATCTGAATATATTAATCATGACGTATCTTTTTAACAGTGTTAATTTCATATTATTTATATACTGTTATAATATTTATTAATGTTTTGAATTAGCTTTAATTTTTATATTTTAAAATTAAAATTAAAATTTATTTTTGTTATTATTTTATTTAATTGTTACATGATATATTTGTCATTATTTGATATATCATGTTTAGTCGTTTTAGTATTTGATTTTTAAGTTTATTTTTTATTTTAAAATTTTAATTTTAAAAAGATGAGATGTAAACAAATTTTAATAGTTTAGTTGCATGCTTTTGTAATAAAAAAAAAATCAGTTTATCTTTAATTTATTTTTTATTTCATTATGTTATTATATTATGTTCTATTTTCAGTAATTTTTGTATTTAATTTACTATTTAATTTATCTTAAAAAAAATGTTCATCTTAATTGAAAAAGATGCAAATAAGATGTACACAAAATTCATACTTGTTCTTTTGACATGTTTCATTATTTTCTGTGTCCAATGTTAAAATTCAATAAAAAGTTGTTGTTGTTTTTTTTAAATCAAACAACAATAACAACAAAAATACATTATTTTTATTGTAATATACTGATTGTAATATTGGTTCACAGCCAATACAGATCATCTCAAAAAGCCCAACTATCAGTCTCACTGATATATCGGTTTGTTTCTATTTTGTACTACACATGCACATCTTAAATCTCATGCTTGCAAAGAGTTAAAAGTGTTCCTGTTGTTTTTCAGGTGGTACTTTGCCATTATCTCTGTATCTGGAGTGTTTGCCGTTACCTTCTCTGTTATATTCGCCTATGTGGCCGACATCACCCAAGAGCATGAGCGCAGTATGGCTTACGGCATGGTACGTATAACCGGCCAACACAAGCCATCTCTCTTTTTGCCCCTTTGTTTTGTATTAACCTCTCTGTTCCTTCTCTGAAAGGTCTCGGCCACGTTTGCGGCGAGTCTAGTGACAAGCCCGGCCATCGGCGCGTATCTGAGTCAGGTCTATGGAGACAGTCTGGTAGTGGTTCTGGCTTCTGCCATTGCTATGCTGGACATCTGCTTTATCCTGGTGGCCGTGCCCGAATCGCTTCCGGAAAAGATGAGACCGGCCTCCTGGGGCGCTCCAATCTCATGGGAACAAGCAGACCCCTTTGCTGTGAGTAGATTTGTCCTTTTTGAGCTTGTTTAAAATGATCGGTACAATAATATCACAATCCTCTCTTCACAGTCCAATCAATTCCCAATGGATAAAAGCATTTCCCTACCGAATAACCAGTTTTATTTGGAAATATGTCATTACGGACATATTCATATGCAAATATAGTAACTGGTAAAGTGAGTGTTGGCTGGAAATGTGCATTTTAAAAACAGAGGACGGCACTTAACACTTTGCTCATATCCTGTGTGGTTTTCTGTAGGGAAACGTTTTTTACGCCCATTTCCCCTCAACAGCATGATGTGTCAACATGATGGAGTTTTGTGCATGCATGTCATATAAGGCTGTTTTGACACGTTGGCTGTTCTAAAGAGTTCCTCTGAAGTCTGCTGTAGTTTCCCACAACATTATTCTTGGTTTTGATTGGTTAGTACCGTCATGCCAAACTTAGACACATTTTAAGGTTGGCTTTTACGCATGTGGGCTCAAAGCACATAAATGAATGCAAAGTGAAGCATCTCAACGGCATTAATACAGCATGTGTATGTGCCGTAACTTTTAGGTTTTGTATAATGATTTTTGTCTTCCAATAAACCAATAAGTTTAATATATATGTGTATGTATGCG